ACTGTTTTTTCCTTTTTTTCTTTACTATTGAACTAAATATCATAAATTGCAATTTATTTTATTTTTTTGCAATTTTTTTTGTACTCTCAAACTTTTAAAGGTCATTTTTAAATCTCGGAAAGGTCATCTGTTTATTTTGTTGCTCAGTTATTTAATTGCTTTTTTTTTCTACTCTATCAACATTGAACTTTCAGATAATGATGATATTTATAAAGTGCAAAATAAAGATTGATTTTGGTAGTACAGCGTTCAGATAGGCAAATAGAAATACACTGAAAAAAAAAAGGCAAAATTACAACAGATTTTAAAGTTTCAAAAGAAATAATAAAAAAAAAAAACGTTATATTTTTTTTTGCTTCTTTTTTTTTGGTGAAATACAAGTGAACGAAGAGTCAAAAAACTGCAAAAACTGACAAACTTTGATGGTTTAATTTTGGTTGATTAATCGACAAGTATGAATGAGTCTTATGGTGGATTTTCAACCTTCCGTTCCATTATCGATACATCGGTTTCAGTCAACGACGAACACTGCTGTGACAGCAGCGATAAGTTTATTTTTCTGAAGTTCCAACATTTAGCTGTGCATTACCATTTCGTAAACTTTACAATACTTAAAATTGAACATTATGATGGCTTTAGGCGTATGACAGGATTATGTTAAAAATCTGTTTTGTTATTTTCACTCTGTCTCCTAATATTTTTGCTAGAAGTTATCTATCAGTTATGTTATTTGAGTGAAAGCAGCAACATCACCAGGAAAAAAAAGGAAACAAAAAAAAGGTTAATGTGTTCGTGCAATGTGTCTTTCACATATCATCACCTAAAACCTGTGGATTATATTCCCATTCATTTTGTCATTTTCGGTTCAAAAGACATGAATTCTATACAAACACACAATACAGATGCTTTGACTGTTATATCTTTTAATAACTGTTTATCTGTCTTTTTAAACTATTCATTTTGTCATTCTTTTTGTGCAGTTTCGTTTTTTTTTCTTTTTAATTTTTTTTTTGTGGGGGGGAGTGGGTTTGTAAATTTGGTTAAAAGAAGCTTGAAAACTCGCACAATCTTTCGGCATCAAATTTTCACACTTTTACTTTTCCATTTCATTCTTTATTGCTTTTTTTCCTTTGTTTTTCTTTCCTTCTCTTTCTTATTACTCTTGTTGGTGTTGTTAAAACTCTTCAAATGTTGTTACTGACTGGTTAGGAGGGGAGGGGAGAACAGTCATTTTTGTGATGATAAATGTATGGTCAGTTGTATTGGTTGATTGGTCAATTTGGTGTTATCACATGGATCTGTTTACTGTATGAATCGAATGGATGCATTTTTGTTACCAATATCTGATTTGTTTCTGTTTTTCTTTTCCAAATAGAATAATGTATAGTGAACGGTTCAAAAATAATCAAAACTGATAGATCATCACTCATTGCTTTGTTTTTTTCTGCAAAATATACCCCGTGTACCAGCGGAGTTCAATATCTCTAAATTTGTTATTTGTTTGATATTAGGAAATAGTGGAATATTTGATAAAGTTATAAGTGGTTTTCTTTCTGTTTTCTTCTTGTCATCGTACCGTTTTTTCTACTACTGATATTTCTGTAGGAATAGATGCCTTAGTTTAGCTATATTTCTTCGATGTAAGTACACACAGGTATTTATATTTAATATGTGACAAAAAAAGATCTATTCCAATGATAGTTTATACTTTAAACAGTTAAGTCATCAAAATTTAAAAAAAACTTTTTATACATTGTTCTTCTTCGTCTTTTGGTCTTTTTGTCTGTTTCTTCAATTATCTGCAGTTATTTTGATTTCATCAAGTTCACTAAAAAAAATTTTGTCACCCATCACCTCAAAGATAGAAGAAATTTTGGGCCAAAAGATGACCGCAATAAATACAAAAGTGTACAGTTATTGTTGGTCGCTTATTGTTAGGTTTTTTTTCTACTTTTTTTTTTTTT